GTATTTGTGTTTCATCAAAAATCTGCCAAAACTTGTCTTTTTATGTCTAAATACATTTATATATTTACTGAGTATAAAACGGAACAGGTTAAAATTATAACTTTTTTTTATTCATATAATTATATAATTGTTTTCCTTTTTTCTATGCTTTAATCAGGGCCATTAATCAAGATTTCTCCTTTTTTATTATTATTTATTATTAATTTCGGGTTAAAAGCTGAATAAATGCGTCACTTCACCGAGATTAAAACACGCAAACATTAAAAAAAAAAAAACCTTTGATTCCTCAAATAAGACAAAAAAAAATAATCCAGACCACAAAGGCAAACAATTCACCCATCTTGTGTTGACATAACGGTCGCCATGGAAACAGATGCACATTTTCCCGCGGGCTGTAAACTGCGTGGGAAACTAGGAAGTTACGGACCGGTTGTGTCCACGCGCTTCACGGCGATCCACGCCGATGGTTGCTGAGAAGATTTATCCAGACTGACAGGAGTCATTTTTTTATTATCCAGAACGATTTAAACCCGAGCTGGTCGCACATCCGGTAGAGATTTTCATAATAATATGCAGACAGGAAAACATTGATAGAAAATAGATATTTATACTAATATATTAAACTAATATGGGATAAAATAAGTCACTTTTATTACAAATGAAAGGCATTTTTTTCCTTGGATGAACTTGTTTATTATGACAAAGAGATTAAAGATAAAAAAAAAAAAAGAAATTTGTTATTAAACCAAGAGGCCCTCTGGTGGTCATAGCTGTTAACTGCATGTAAGTAACCGTTTTTCTCTTTAATTGCTGTGAGTTAATATTTAATTTAATTAGCTGATGTTTATGGAGGAGGATTAGGGCGAAAAAAGAATTTGAAAATTAACTGATTTTTATATATTATTTTAGTTTAATATGGGGGGAAAGTCAGAATTCTGACTTTAATCTGAGAATTGTGGATCTTAATGTAGATGGGCACCATGAAGGCAGAGATGTGGAGAACTCAGCTTCACTGGTAGAGGTGTGAGTTGTTTGGGAGGAACAGTAACACATTGGTAGAAAATGACTGAATTAGGCAACTTTTTCCGTCCCTGTGATGTCCCTGTGATGCTGTTTAATTAATGGAAGAACAGAAGGTGATTAAAACAAGAGAATTAGTCTATAAAACAGACATGGCTTGACTTGATGCTGACATGTTTGTTAGCTGTCAGAATTCAGTCAGAATTCTGACTGTTTTCCCATATTAACCTGAAATAATATATATTTTTTAAAAGTTAACTTTTATTTTCTCAGCGGCTATCTTCCAACATTTTCCCAGATCTGCTTCAACTGCTGCAGAGTCAACAGGATTTTATGCCAAGAAGTGAGTTGGGGTCAAAGGTCTTCTTCTTCTTCTTCTTATGAGGTTTTATGGCGGTTGGCAAACTTGTGAGATGTGCATTACCGCCACCAACTAATATGGAGTAAAGCAAGGAAACAGGAAACTGTTTAACTGAACCCAACATAATAAATACTAAATAACATTTGCCCTCATAATTTTAATTTATCTTGAAGTCATTGTGCTTCTGCCAGTTTCTAATAGTCCTATCGGTTTTCCCATCATGCTTTCAAACATTTCCCAGTTTAAATCTTTAACTTCCAGATATTTTTCTGCAGCTTTCACTACTCTTTTGATTTCTTCGGTTTTTCTTGTCGTCTGTGCACTACAATTGATCACTTCCACCATGAATAGAACAAAATCTTTCTTTTTAACAATTAGTGAGTCTTCTTCACTTTTGTTACATTTCTCCAGAGGCTTTGAACTAGCCATGCATTGAACTGTAGGTTTGGGTTTTTCTAACTGAGATGGGATCCTTTTTGCAGCTTCAGCGTATGTTATTCCAAGCTCAAATTTCATTTTTTTTAATTTCCTCAGACCTTTTGCTTGCTTCACAGCCGCGATAAGCAGCAGTATGATCTCCACCACAGTGGGGGTCAAAGGTCAGGGTTGGGTGTAGAATACTACTAAATGTAAATTATTCAAACTCCTCCAGTAAAGCACCACTCATCTAGTAGCTATGATCCTGCTCTATAGAGTCTGTTGGTTTTAAGGCTAATCACTGCCCTCTCGTGGCCATAGAAGGTAACTTCATCTGAACTACATGAGTAGACCTGAACTAATTAAATTTGGCTTTTAGAAAAAGCCAAATTTAATTAGCTTTAGAAACAACAGCCCATAAATAGATGTTTCAGTTGGTAAACATAGCATGTTTAGATGTAATTTACTTATATGTTACCTTAAATAATATTTTTTGGTCAAATTAATTCAGCAGTAAAAACTATTAACCTCTTTCCTTGCGTTTTTGCAGCTAGGAAAGATTTTACCCCGATATTAAAGAGAATAGAGATGCACTGTTTCGAGGTTAGTAGTCTCTAACTATCAAATATGATAAAACATATTTTCCTAATGTCTTTGTTAAAATTATTTCAGGAATAATTTTGCTACAAAATGTGAATCCTCCAAATAAAATTTTTGCAGTTAAATTATTATAAGTATCTATTTTTTTTTTTAATCATAAATATCCTAAAATAAATATCAGCTTAATTATGATCTATTATCATAATGGATCATAATCAACTGTGATCTGTTATAGTTAATTATGATCTACTGCTAAAATCAAATCTGTTTTGAATTTTAAGCAAAATAAATTCTGCATATGAATCACGAGCATCGTTACTTTAACATATCTGAATCTTTATCTTTATTAAACTTAAACGTTTTCATTTGTTATAGTTCATTTAATTGTCGTTTCCTTTTTATGATACAGATATGAATGAAATAAAGGCGAATTAAGTAAATGTTTATTTGTCCGTTAACGGAAGAAAATCAAATCGTAGCTGAGGCTTTTCTAAACCAGTCTGTGGTTTTAGGACCAAAAAAAACCTGTTAGAATTGAATCTTCATTTGGCAGAGTTCATAATAAAATACAAGTTTTAAGGAATAATTTTCTTCTTGAGGTTTTGACATAAGGCTGGGCAGAGGAACTGTCTGCAGCACTGCAGGTCCTGGGTTCAATTCCCTAGGATCTGAATTTTGCATGTTGTGTGGGTACATCGGCTTCCTCCCACAGTCCAAAAACACGACTGTTAGCTTGATAGGTGTCTTTAAATGGCCCTTACAGATGTCAGTCCATGTATACATGGCTGTTTATCACTGACCCTTCGATGGACAGGCGACCTTTCCAGGAGGCACCCCACCTGCTGCCTACAGATTGCTGAAGATTGGCTAAACCCCCAGACCCCCACAAGCAAGTGGTAGAAGATGGATGGATTGTTGCAGATAATTCGATTCA